TGCCACTGGCTGCAGAAGTGAGCAGGTTAAGACAGTCTGGCTGGGGGGAGGGCTTTTTTTGCCTCCCTTTTAGCACAAAAGTGGTAGAAATATTCAGTTATACTTAGCTGAGCTTTTGTTATTAGGCACTACTGACTGCTTTGGGGGTGCTCACAGATCACTTCAGCATTCCAATCCTGCCCCTTGGAGATGGGAGTGAGAATATATATTTTTATTCTACATTTAAATATAACTATCTTCCAATTTATAGATGTTAGGCTAAAAATTAAACTGCTAAAGAGTGAGACTTTTGCTTTAACATGATGCAGCAGCAAAAGGCTTGCCAATGGGCAAAAGCCTGGCATTGTGTGTTTTTGAATGACATGGAGCTCACATGCAAATGCAAGTAAAACATTATTTTCCTTCGACTCTGCATCCAGTCCTCGCATTTATAACCTTTGCAGGTTTGTAAAACAAAGGAAAGCTGAAGTAAGTTCATCAGCACAGTCACAGTTTCACTTAGCAACTACTTTGCTTAATGACCGAGTTGCCTGGCCTAATTGTGGCGCTAAACGAGGACTATATTATTATTTATGTTGTATTTGTCATACCACTAACCATCAATGTTAGGCCTTCTAGAAATTTGTCGTCCATTTGGTATTCACTGCATAGCAAATCCTTCAGCTATTTTCAGCTCATACTTTAATTAATAACTTTTTACTTATTGTTAATAAGGCTAAGCCATCTTTCAGATTTTAATCAACTCACCCTTCCTGTGCTTTTGAGCTCTCCCAGATGACTAAAGATGAGAGAAGTTCATCAGAAGCAGACCAACAAATTGGAAAAGACAATAATAGTCATTCTTTTTTTTATTGCTCCACATGGTTAACATAAGAAATCTTTATGCGATTGTAATATTTTGAGACTTCATATTATATAGTTAAATAGGTATATTAAAAGATTTGTTGTTAGCTAGCTATTATAATGGCTACCATAGTTTTACACTCCTGTGATTTCTGGTATCACTAGCATAAGAAAAACAATAATTTCTAATTGCATTACCAAGCCATACGATTCCAAATAATATGTGTAATATTTTCTGCCTCGTTAAAGTAGATTTTTGTAAAATAGATTAGAGTTACTTTTTGTGATGAGGCACAATTTACAGAATAGATTCTGCTGGCAGCATAATCATGTCTTGAGGGATCCCACCTGCTTTTGAAGCTTGCCTTTATTGTTTTCTCTTTGTTTACCATGATCACTCCCCATGTTGTGGCATTAGGGCTGCTTTCATCAATGCGTTTTATGTTTTTTGTTGGTTTTTTTGCCATTAGTATTTTGAGAACAATTACTCCAGAGGCATTTAATGTGAGAAAGCAAAGGGAAATAAAAGCAGAAGTTTGAGCATCTTGTAATAGCTCTTCAAAAGCAATCTGGCCTTGATGCAGCCATATATTTCCCACCAGAGTCCATTAAAATCAAAAGGGCTGACATCTCTTAGCTTGGAGGAGGGGAATTAGGGTCATAAAAGAACAGAGTTATGTTCCACTCCTGCAAGGGAGCTGCTTCCTCCCCCCCCCCATTTCTGTCTATCTCTTCCAGCCTTCCCAAGAAGCCGCATAAGGTGTAGAGAGGAGGAATTAAGTTCTAATTGAGCACGCCTAGTCACCATAGTAAGGCCTAGTACAGGTAGTCCTGTACTTATGACTTATGACCACAATTGAGTCCAAAATTTCTGTTGTTAAGTGAGACATTTCTTAAGTGAGTTTTGCCCCATTTTACGACCTTTCTCGCCACAGTTGTTAAGCGAATCACTGCAGTTAAGTTAGTAACCCAGTTAAGTGAATCTGGCTTCCCCATTGATGTTGCTTGTCAGAAGCTTGCAAAAGGTGATCACATGACCTTGGGACACAGCAACGGTCGTAAGTATGAACCAGTTGCCAAGCATCTGAATTTTGATCACATGATCATGGGGATGCTACAAAGCCCATAAGTGTGAAAAATGGTCATAAACTACTTTTTTCAGTGCCGTTGCAACTTTGAAAGGTCACTAAATGAACTGTTGTAAGTCAAGGACTACCTGTAATGAATAGGGCCTCATTAGTCATGGTTTACTGTTGCGGGGTTAAGCTTGATTTAGACTTGTCTGCAACTGCCTGTATGTGGCGATATATACCTACGCTGCAAAGGGGTTGATGGATAAGCTTCGGTTGTGGATGGTTGCAGATGGGCTGACACCCACCCCTCCCAAAACTCAATTATGCATTGTGTGGAGATGTGCGTCCTGCATGGTGATTGGTTCCTCCAATTTCCTGTTGGGGGGTGGCCGGAAGGCAAGGCATTTTCAAACATCGTCATTAGCAGTGGCAGAAGTGTAAATGCAACAACTATGCAACCATCTCCAAACGATAGACGCATACATTCCCTGACGTGCAGTGGCACAGAAGTCTAACCCCAGCTTTAGTGAATGAACCCAGCCACACCATTGATTGCTCATGCTTTTGTGTGCCATCCTTTAGCAGGGCATCAATTGGGCACTGCCCTCAACTTTGCCTCCTTCAGAGTAAGATGCTAGATAGTTCAAAGGTTAGGCCAGACAGGTTGTGGTGCTTCCTTGAGGGGACCTATTCCCAAGGGGGTCACAAGACACACATGCACCATGCCCTTCCAGTCTTTTCTGCCCAGCTGAGTGCATTGCAGAGAAGAAGCAATGTTTTTGTTCCCAGTTGGATAAACCACCATGTGTACATAGCCCCACCTTGTGTTTTTGTAAGGCATATATTCTATTGTGCTATGTAGAGAATGCCAGAAAGGTTGTGGCCAGGCATGAGACATTCTTAAATTCCCATAAATGGAACCAGCTTTAAGCTCATGGTGTAAACCTTTTACCGATCATTTATGTTTGTAGCCAGTGTGAGTCAGGCCTCTGGATGTTTTCATTATCCCGTAACCTTGTGGCATGCGTAAGTCACTTTATGTTCTGCAGTTGTTATGCTAAGGCAAGTCTTACTTGCAAGCCTATTCTCCCTTCATCAGAGTTACTTCACGTACAAATTGCTTCTCTTCTCTCATATTTTGAGTGCGGGGATTGGCTGTCATTGGAAGACTGTCTTTCAAGAGCCAAAGATGAGTAGGAGAATGAGGCTATGATGAGAATTTTGACCTTACTCTACTAAAATTCTCTGGAACCTATTGTGGAAGACTGGCCAAAATGACTTTTCAGTTTGATTCCTTGCCTTCCTCATTGTTAGTATTATTATTTTTTGGTATAATTCTTTAAAAAGGAGGGGAGCTATAACAGTAGTTATGCTATCGGTCCCAGGTAGCTTTCCTTGTCTTTTTAAACATGCTTCTTGTTTTTAACCCTGCCCATTCCTTTGTTTTAAAAGCCATTCCAATTTTCCAAGTTAATACTTAGTAAATCAAACTAATACTTGATAATAGTCAACTGCTTTGATTTTTCCTCATCTAAAATTTTATCTTTCCTTTAATGGGAGAGATAGATTCCATCATTTTAGATACTATTTGTAATATTTAAATATGCCTTTAGTATACTCTTGGGTTTGTAAGGATACTTGGAAGTGATTGCTTAGTGGTAAGAGCTGAGTTGTTGGCATCCTAGCATTAGAATTAACGTACAAGTGTCTTGACCATGAAGACAGATTTTCCTTCTAAATGTGGACTTAACAGGTCTCCACCCACAGTGTTGATTTTGCTATTTTATTTATAGATGGGTTTATTTTTATGCCACCCCCATCTAAGACTGAAGGCGGTTTTTGCAAAATAGTAAAACAAACTCAGTAATCATAAAACTAGAATATCAGTAAAACTCATAAGTAAAACTGTCTTAATCATCATAATGTTTGATAGATATAATACCAAGAATTAGAAAGCTGCTATGTGAGTTCCATAGGCTTGTTTTTCCCTGTTGGTCATCAAACCAAGTACGGACTGGGTCATTAAAAAAAATAAACAATTCTATATGTTTATTTGTATATAGACAATATTTTATTTTATCCCGGGCAGTAGAAGAACAAAGGCCTACTATAATGATGAATAAATGGCTCAAATGTAAATGGCATTGTCTTCCCACCCATATACACACTTACATACTCATCTTTCAAGAAAAAAAATCAGGAGTAAAAACAGAGTTTATTCAATAGCCGTGTGGACTTGGACAAAGTTCAACATCAACAGTCATCTTGGTTTTGCAAATAGGGTTCTGGTCAACATTTGGAGACCAAGGAATGTAGACAGCTAGAACTGTGCCAATCTAAACACTTGAATATTTTTTCCCTTTTTGAAATAGAAGGTGACAATTAGCTGTTTCCCTCCATGTTCACAAGTCATTTGTGTACACTGCTAACATCTACTTGTATGAACATCTCTATTTAGTTATAAAGTTGTAGATCTGAAAGGGAAACAAGAACTGCCCAGTCCTTAAATGAATGCACAGAGTTGTTTGGATAAAGAGAATCTCTCTGTGGTGGAGAGGAGACCAAAATGATCCAAACCAGGGGTCTTCAAATTTGGCCCTTTTATGACTTCTGGACTTCAACTCCCAGAATTCCTCAGCCAGGCACGCTGGCTGAGGAATTCTGGGAGTTGAAGTCCAAAAGTCACAAAAGGGCCAAGTTTGAAGACCCCTGATCCAAACTAACCACAGAGTTTCTTTTAGGAAACTCCAATAAACCAAACTGTGTTAATGAGGAGAAATCCATTCTTCCCTGCATCTGACCAATGCAGAGCTGATTTTAACCTGGGAGATTCACTTTTGACTCCAGCAATAGCTTTTCAAACTATATATCCAGTGAATTGTTGCTTGGGCTGATATTTTTGTCAAAAACAACATTGTCACTGCAGCTTGATAGGTTGCTGCTGATGGAGCTTCTCCTCCTCAGTTCTGTGGACCTTTAAGACAAGTTTTTGAAAAGTGATGGATGCGATTAGGAAGGTGGATTGGAGAGGGGGAGAGAAAAGAAGGCTTCACTGTCTAATACATGTCTCCTCTCTTTGCATAGGAGGAGCTAACTAGCACCAGTGTGGAACACATCATAGTGAACCCTAATGCAGCTTATGACAAATTTAAGGACAAGAGAGTGGGTACTAAAGGGCTAGGTAAGTAATGTTGTCATGGGCACTTACAATATATCCAGGGAAGAGCAATAGTTTCAGATTCTTCCCCTAAACTAGAAAATGGTGGTAGTAGTAAACTCTTACAGTAATCCACAGAGAGGATCTAAAGGTCATGATTAAAAATATCCTAATACATCTTTGTCCATTAAAATTATAATCTGCATTATTTATTATCCTGTGTTTTATTTGTGTCGCTGTGTATATGCAAAGTATATTTTCTGCAATTTTTCATTAAGGTTTTTTTTTAAAAAAAACTATCATTGCCTACAAAGGCAAAAAAGGGGCAATACCCTCATGATAATGGCAGTGGTAATACATTGCTTGCACTGAAATATATCTATTACGGTGATTTTGTTGGTGATGTGAGGACTTGCAAATGATGAGTACCAACATTAGAGTTTATGCCAGAGTCAGCAGTGCAGCCAGGGATTCCAGACACATTGTGACAAGAGGAAATTATTACAAAATTTGAAAAGAAGGGAGTGTAATATTCATCTGCTTTAATTTAAATTTACGGAAATATATGAACCTGCAATTCAAGTGGTCTAAAAATACAAAATTAAATGTCTCCTTTTTTTTTGTTCTATAGATTTCTCTGATCGTATTGGCAAATCTAAAAGAACTGGCTACGAGTCTGGAGATTATGAAATTGTAAGTTGTTGACTTATTTGGACAAATTCAATTGAAAAGGGAGTCTTCCAGTCCAGTTCTAGTTCAGCTCTCCTCCCCCCCCCCACAGACAGACAGACAGACACACACACACACACACACACACACACACACACACACACACTCTTAGGTGACAGTGCAGGGAGAAAAATCCAGGCACTTTTTTGAAAACATTTCCGTAAAGCCCACTTTAAACTCAGGAATTGGATTAAGGTGGAAACTGCTATCTTATCTTCTATTATATTATCAGCTGATATCCCAAAGTTCTAACTTTGCTTTTCTGCCTTTTTCATTAAGTTAGGAGAAGGACTTCATGCAAAAGAGACCCCTCAGCAGAAATATCAGCGGCTACTGCATGAAGTTCAGGAGCTGACTGCTGAAGTGGAGAAGATCAAGGTAAAAGTCGAAGATAGATAAAGGCAATCTGGAACCTGCTGAGGGGGCCTTCTTGATTTGGACCAGATTAAGCTGGTCCAGAACTTGGCGTATTCTTTAATTTCTGCGTGTGTAAGATTAAGTGCTGCCTCAGATAATATTCTTGCATTAAAATTGAAGGGGAGGGAACTGTTGATTATTAGACTTTTTGACACTTGTATTCCTGCTTCCTCAGAACAGCGTAAAGGAGTCCTCAGCAGAGGAGAAACTGACACCAGTTGCTCTTGCAAAACAAGTGGCTGGCCTGAAACAGCAGCTGGTCTCCACCCATCTGGAGAAACTGTTGGGACCAGAGGCGGCCATCAACTTAACGGACCCTGATGGTGCTCTGGCCAAGTAGGTTGTGGTGGGGACTAGGACTTCCTTCAGGGAGTAGCTTTTATCCCCAGCTTTCTCAGTCAGACCCTCTGCCCTTAAGGATCTGATGAGATTGTGAATGTCACTTTCCAGGCAAGCTCAAGGTCAAATATATCTTTTCTTTCTCTCAGACTCTCTGAGGGGGTATAGAGGTAGTCCTCCACTTACAACAGTTCATTTAGTGACTATTTGAAGTTACAGAGGCCCTGAAAAAAGTGACTTATGACTATTTTTCCACACTTCACGACCGTTGCAGCATCCCCAGTGTCACATGATCAAAATCCAGACCTTTGGCAACTGACACGTATTTAGGACAGTTGCAATGTCTCCAGGGGGTCACGTGATCCCCTTTTGCAACCTTCTGAGAAGCAAAGTTAATGGGGGAAGCCAGATTCACTTAACCATATGGCTAGCTTAACAACTGCAGTGATTCACTTAACAACTCTTAAGTTCCGTAAAACTTCCTGGGCTTCTGCCTTTTCCAGGCGCTTGCTTCTTCAGCTGGAAGCGACAAAAACTGCTAAAAGCGTTTCTACTGGTGGGAAAGGTGCTGCCAAAGTCCCAGCAGGCCCAGAAAACACCGTGACATACGAACTGCATTCTCGACCTGAGCAAGACAAGTTCTCTCAAGCTGCTAAAGTAAGAATGGGAAATGCTTGTTCTCTGGGTCCTCTCTTGAGATGGGGGGGGGGATGCCTTAGAATAGTGGGAGGCGAGATATGTAGAACAGAGGTGAGTTATCTTTCCCCAGGACTGTCTTGGGTGACCCAAGGTGGTGGGATTCTTCCACAAACTGTTTAAACGAATAAAAGCTGCATTGAAGGGCTAATGTTCATGACTTCATAAACAGCCTGTTCTCCAGAAGGCTTGGACATCTGTAAACAACATTTTAAAACATGTGTGCCATTTTTTTAAAAAAATATATTTTTGTAAGTTGAAAAGAGGGATATTTATTTATTCTGTTTTTTTTTTAAATTTAATTTAAATTACATTTTAATTTAAATGATTTGTAAGCCTGCCCATCTTCAAAAACCACCTCTGAGTGGTTCATAACAACAACAAAACAGTACTATAAAAACCATGAAGCAGAATCCAAACCTACTGCTTCAATTATCCCCTTGGGATGCCCCAACAACCAATCCAAAACAGCTCCAAACAACTTACACACGCGCACACACACACACACACACACACACACACACACGTGTCTCACTCTCTGTGTATGTTTATATATGTGTGCGATATTAAAAACAAAATATGGCAGATAGTGGAAGTAACAGAAGCATAATTGACAGTTGACAGTAATTGACATCTGAACCAGAATCACTACTCCTTCTGCATGGAAATTGTTAAGACCATAACCTGGCTGATATCACAGCCACTGTTGCTCTGCGTGCTGCTAAAATATTAAGGTGACTTTAGAAAGGAAAAGTAACATTGGGGAATTGGAATTCCAGACTCTCCAGATTTCTGGGGCTATTTCCTTATTGCTGGCACTGTGTACATCTTAAAATGAAGCCATGGCCGATCCCATTTCTAATCAGCTCCATAAAGTTGATATATTCAAGACTAAAGGATTTGTTCATCTATTAGAAATCCAGGGTATTCTTCCAGAAATTGCTGAAGGACAGCTTTCAGTAGCAGGAGCCAGCATGATCATTGGGAAAGAATGCTGGGAGTGATATTTCAGTGCCACAAGTTTCCACTGCCTGGCCCATTAACTTGGTTTTACTGTCATAAAAAAAAACACCAAACCTGTTCTTTGAAGTGCCTGCTTCCCAGAAGACTCATCTCAGTTCAGAACAAAACTTTAGAAGCACTTTGCCTGTTTGATTCCAAGCTAGCAGAGATTTGTGGATCAGAATTGGGGAGTAAAATATCTCAATTTTTTGTTTGTTTTTGTGTTTGTGTGTGCCTTGTCAGATAGCAGAATTGGAGAAGCGTCTGGCTGAATTGGAAGCGTCAGTTCGTTGTGAACAGGATGTGCAGGTGAGAGACACAGGAGGCAGTAGACTGGCAAGTTGCCTGACAAAGATGGGGGTTTTAATAGATTGTAATGATCCCATAGACGTATTCATTACTCAGGCCTGAGGTGATTTTTTTTTCTTTTTTCTTACGGAGAAGCATAGGGAAAAATATTGTACTTTATGTCAACAGCTAAAATGCAGCAATAGATGGATTGCGTGAAGAAGAGCTTTCTTTTGACTCTTTCTAGGGCTCTTTGCCTTCCTTACTAGGTGATTCTGAGATCTAATTATGTTATAGATGAAGCAAAAACTTGTTAGAGCTCAATTTTAATTCGGGGGGAAGGGGGGAGGAGCAGGACCTCACATTGTAAGGAGGTTGTAGTGGCCTAAATGGGGGGAAACACACTTGGACTCAATTCAGACTCAGGCTGAGTGGCTGAAGATTTGAGGCCTTCCCAGATACAGAGAATTATCATCTTTGGCTTTGGATGGGGCTGCATTACTCTGCATAGGCCAAATGTGCCTTTTAGGGGTCCCCTCTGACTCATAATTTCAGTTTGAACAGCAGATAGCTTGGAGGCCTTTTGACTGTTTTATAAATCAAATTGCCCCCATACTGACAGTTTCTCATGCCTTAGTCACTGTCATCTGGATTATTCCAGAATTCCCCATCCAGCATGGGAGTTGAAACATATATGTTAACGTTGCAAGTTGACAAGGTTGAGAAACACTGGCCTATATTAAAACAATGGCGTATCATTGTATTGCAGACTAACATCCTTGTTACAAACTGAATGGCATTGTATTAAATCACCATTTTTCCCCCTGTCTATCTACCGTAGAATCCTCTGTCTGTTGGACTGCAGGGTGCTAGCTTAATGGTAAGGCACTGATTCGGTCTTCTATCTTGGGCCTCCTATGACTTGGAAGGAATTAAATGGGATGTCTGCTTTTCAGGAGTAAGCATGAAGGAATCTTGTAGAATGGTTTATACTGTGGATGGTTGCAAAACCATATTGTGATTGATAGCTGCTGTACAAAACCCTTGGATGTATGCCTGTTAATGAAATCCTGGAAGTGGGAGGCTAGGAGAAATGAAGAAATGGGGGTGGGGAGAATAGATTTCAGTAAGGTATGATTGAGGCACATATTTTTTTGCCTTTGCAAGATGTTCTAGACCAGGTAGTCCAGACTTGGCTATCTATCGTACAAGCCAAACAATCAAAGGGACAGAGAAATTGCCAAGAGCGTTTTGGTCTGGCAAAGTATATTTTTTTCTGATCTTCTGCAGAAGGCAGCATGACAGTAAAATGTAATAAATGTTATTGTTTCAGGGATGTCTGCAGTCAAATAGTAAAAATGATGACCACAGTGGTGTGATCCAAGCTCTGCCTGTTTTTCTTATATGTGACAAGCAGAGCTTTGAATGCATTTTCAGGCCTGTGTCCTTGATTTTTTTTAACCATATCCTGTGGACCCCTAATGTTATTGAATGGTTTAAAAGGACCTCATCTTTCCTAAATGCTATATAGGGATCAAAAGATCAGTTATAACTTCATACTTAGAATGACTAAGCTCTTGGTGACATAATCTCAATCATATCTGTATTTCTGGATATGAAAGCTTCCTCACCTTTAAGTTTGTATACACACATTAACCTCACACAGTATTATCAGTTGTAAATACACAATAATAAATAGCTCAAAGTATATTCTCCACTGTCAGTCTGTTTTGTTTTCTAAAAATGACACAAAATAATAAACATTTCTGGACATTAAGAACTAATGACAGGAGGGAAATCCTTATATTTAGAAACAAAACAGGTTCCGAAAGGAATGGGAAAACTGAGATAAATATCATGTAAGTCAGGGGTGTCAAACTGCCAGCCTGCAGGCCGGATGCGTCATGCCAAAACTGCGCCTACCCCATTGCTGGCAATGAGAAAAAAGTTGCGATAGGTCACGACATGTCATGTGATATTGCGAGTTTGACACCCATGATGTAAGGCCTAGAGCAGTGGTTCTCAACCTTTTTAATGCCGCGACCCCCCAACCGGTCGTAAGTCGAGGACTACTCAACAGGTCGTAAGTCGAGGACTACTCAACTGGTGCAGCACCGTTTGCAGAATGGGACTTTTGGCAGGCTCAGCAGGGCAGAGACAGCCTGGACAATTCCTATTGGCTTTTGAAAGCCAATAGAATTAGACTCTATTCAAGAGAGTCTATTCTATTGGCTTTCAAAAGCCAATAGAATAAAAGGGAGTAGCACAGCTAAGGAAAAGGGGGGGAAAATGGCGGACTGCGTTGTTTGGCGACCCCCGTGAAATGGTTGTTCGACCCCAAATGGGGTCCCGACCCACAGGTTGAGAACCACTGGCCTAGAGACTGCAGGTAAGACTATGTTTGATTAATCAGAATGTTGTAAGCAGTTAAAGGAGTTTTAGATTTTCAATTCTCTGTGTTGTCAGCTGAGTGATTTACACTCTTCAATCCCAACCATCCGTAGGAAACTGTGGAACTCTTGCAGGCCAAAGTCAGCTCCTTAGATGTGGCAACTCTGGACCAGGTGGAGGCAAGGCTACAGGTGAGTCTTATTCTAGGGTTTCCTTTTTATATAATTTTATTAATAGTTCTAAAAGGAAAAATTAAAAACTAATATGAAGTAATAATATAAAGTAAGAAAGAAAAGAGGAAAAGAAAGAAATCAAAGAGAAAGCTAAAACTGACAGCACAGGTGGTTAGATTCTATGCAGCAGCACTGGGGATTCATCAGAAACAAGTGATTAATCCATCATAGCTACTTTACACAATCAATGCAGCAAACCCTTTTGCATTATCACTCTTCTACATTTCAGTATTTAATGACTATGGGCCTCACAGTTTAAGGATTAATATTATATTATAGTTAGGCCATTCTGTGTTTTGCTCATGTGCAACTGACAGATTGGATGCCAAATTGTGGTTTTAATATAGATTTTATCTGTCATTTATTATTTTATTCTAGAAATTTTAACTGGATATTCCTTGAGTATTTTTAATTTGCTCTGGTCTCTTTGACTATAATAAGCATTGACTTGACTTGAAAAGTTGAAAGTGCAAAAAAGAAAAAAGAGTAAATGAAAAACAGAAAAGAAAAAAAGATATAAAGAAATGGCTTCCAGTCTTCTTTACAGCAGTTATTACAGTTATAAATTTACCCCTTTCTCTAAAGTTACAATATGTCTCTCTTCTTCCTATTATCTATCCTATCTAATCTTCAAAACCCTAAATTGTAAGTTCGGGGTTTTTTTCTGTTTTCTGGAAAAAGTTCATAAGGGGTTTCTAATCGGCAATAAATATAAATATTGTCTTGTCTCTAATCAAAGAAGAAAACTGGCCATCTCAACGAGTTCCATCACATTCACCAATCGTTCCTCCATTATAGGTATTGCCCAATGTTTCCATCTTTGTGCCTACAATAATCTTGGCTGCAGTTACCATAGATAAAAACAAAGTTCCATTCCTTTTTTTCCACCAGATGTTGACTTGGAGGCTTTTGAAGATTAATAAACAATTGAGAGCAGAGGACTGCGTGGTGGAACTGTTGGACAAACAGTTGGAAAATGTTTCTCTAGGATTTCCCAGCAGGCAGTACATTTGTGCTTGTCAGATAGGATTTTGATATTGTGGCAAGGCATCATGCTCTGTTAACATCAGTTTTGTATATTTTTCTTGTGTTTTCTTTTGTTGCACTTGTATTTTGGTCTGTGACCGCAAAATAAAAATTATTATTATAACATCAGTTTTCTTCCCCCATTCCTAGAGTGTTTTGGGAAAGGTGAATGAGATTGCCAAGCACAAAGCCACAGTAGAGGACGCAGACACCCAAAGCAAGGTCAGATTCTGTTTAGTCTTTCTAATACAGCACATGATAAATCCACAAACTTTTTTTAGAAGATGTTCATACACACAGGTTCTCCTTAGGTCACGCCTATTAGGTTCACTGTTCAAAGTTACAATGGTGTTGAATAAATGGTACAGGTAGATGTATGACCCCAATTTAGCCCAAAATTTCTGTTGCTAAGTGAGGCATTTGTTAAGTGAATTTTGCCCCATTTTACGACTTCTCTTGCCACAGTGAAGAGAGTGAATTACTGCAGTTGTTAAGTTATTAATATGGTTGTAAAGTGAACCTGGCTTCCCCATTAACTTGGCTTGTCAGAAGGTCACAAAAGGTAATTGCATGTTCCCGGGGTCATTGTAACCATCATAACTAGGAGTCAGTTGTCAAGTATCTGAATTTTGATCAGGTGACCATGGGGATGCTACAGCGGTCATAAGTGTGAAAAACAGTCATAAGTCACATTTTTCAGTGCTGTTATAACTTTGTCACTAAATAAACTGTTGTGAGTCGAGAACCACCTCTACTTAAGACTGGTCCTCAGATTTCCCCCCTTTGCAACATCCCTGCAATCACATGAACACAATCTGGGTACTCAATGTCTGGTTATTGCATCATCACAGCAGGCTGCAGTCACGTGATTGTGATTTTTTGATGTTCCTTGCTGGCTTCCCACAGAATTTGCTGTTACGACAGGTCCTCCCTTAAGGATGGTAACCAAGACTGCTGGAATTGCCATCACTTAAGTGCTGTAGTCACATGAACTGCACTTTATAACTGTGTTGCTTAGCTACAGCCATTCTGATCTCAGTGGCCATTGTAACCATATCAGGAAAATTTTAAAGCAATTGCTTCTTTCCCTGGACTTGAGTAGCAGCAAGATATGGTGGGTGGATTTATTTTATTTATTTATTTGTATTCCACCGTTATTATTTTTACAAATAACTCAAGGCAGTGAACATACCCAACACATCTTTCCCCTCTTATTTTAAGCCAGGGGTAGGGAACCATGCCCCCCCTTTTGACTTGTAGACTTCAACTCCCAGAATTCCTGAGCCCAATCCTGGTGTATATGCCTGGCGTTCGTTCAGCAAGGGCAACATTTGTTTCTGGCTGATAATCTAAGTATATAGGGATTTGTACTGCCTGTTACCTCTGCAGCTGCTACACCTAAGTCAGATTTGTTTTTAATAGCTTGAAATATTAATAATCTGTTGCATCAGGTAGCTTAAAGCTCATGATGATTCTAGATCTTGTGGTTTCCTGGGTTCATTTGGCCAGCTCCGGAAGAGAAAACAGAGCATTTATGACTGCTCTGAGCAAACAATAGTTTTGATTCCTCGTTCAGATTCTGCCTATAAAAATTGGTGATTGCACTCTCACGTGCCCGTACGGTTTCTGATAAAGAAGAAGGGAGTGTGACATGTGACATGGCTTCTGTCATAACAGGCACGTCCACCCTTTGTTTGCTTAGCACTTAGTGGCTAGCATTTGATTGCGCGAACTGAACTTTGCTGGATAGCATAATAACTAAAGCACGACTGGGCAAGATGACTGTTCTGCCTTTACTAGAGCTGAATATTTGTAATTTATGCACTAACTTGTGTTGGTTGGTTAATAATGGATTAATGTCAACCAGCTCATCAGATTTGAGGGCCAATTTTTTATCCTAAGTATGCATACATGCATATGTTAACCTGAGTGCTCTGGAGTTTCAGAAGGTCAAGGCTAGGGCCAGATCTTCACTCAACTTCTCTCCTTGCTGAGGATGTCCCTTTGTCTCTCCTTAATAGGTTCATCAGCTGTATGCACTTGTACAGGAGTGGAGTCCCCTGGCTAGCACCCTCCCTGAGGTGGTGCAGCGCCTAGTTGCTGTGCGGCAGTTGCATGAGCAAGGTGGGTTCTCGGGCCTGTTTGGATGATGGTGAGGACTTTTTCTTAAAAACCAGAAAAGGAGCAGCCTTGAAGTCACAAATTCAAAAATAAAATAAAATAAAATTCTCAGCCTTTGGGCTTCTTGTTGCCCTGAGGAGCAATCTACTGCTGAACAGGTTTTTTTTTTCTCCAGCTGACTTGGGTTCTTCTTGGTTACAGCCATGCAATTTGGGCAGCTGCTGACTCATTTGGACACTACCCAGCAAATGATTGCTAATTCTCTGAAGGATAATGTAACCCTGCTGACACAGGTAAGATTTAGAACGCTCAGAGTCACCCGGGGTAGCGCCTGTGTCGTAGTCACTAAGACCTCTACAACCTGATCTGCATGGATGATGTTTGCATGTCCCTCTACAGATGAAATATGCTTGCACGTCTCACAGTGTTTAAGAGTAGGGAGCAGCTGTTGCATTCCACCAAAAAGTATAACGGAGTTGTTTATCCTATGACGGTGAGGTCTAGAGGGAGGAATTTTGATATGTAACATTTACTCAAGAAGATTATATAGTTTTTAGACATTATAATTGTGAAAATATGTTTTAATATTTTCTTAGGAATGGCTCCTGAACATCAGAGGTCAGAGAGTAAGATTTCGGAAGAGGGCTGCTACCTAGTTTTTGACCGATAGTATCAATAGAGTCCTCAGTAGCTCTGTTCCTCCTTACAGAACCTTAAAATTCAGGAGATGGAGGAGATCTCAGAGATAGATCATCTGGTCCATCCAGGAATCCATTGCTAGTGCAATTTATTCCTTGTAATGGTGAAACCACTGGAGTCCCTCTCATATGGCAGAACCAGTCATATTCCTTTGTCTTCCTCCAAAAGCAGCTGTCCTTGTCTTGCCAGCTCTGTGTCTTTTCCCAGGCGAAATTCAGTCAGGGTTGCAAAAACATTGTAGTGGAATTAAAAGGGAAAGTAGTAATACAGTGTTCATCAACGAATCTGAGGTTGTCTTTTATAGTTCTAGAACTATATCTAAATCTGAAAAAAGTGGCAAATAGGGCAGTGACCCCATCAGAGGATTTGGGGTTCAAGTGTTGATGTTAGGCTTTTTTCCTGGCATTCCATGTTCAGCTTGGGTGTTGGGAGTTTAATATTATTAAAACTAAAATTCACTAATAGATGAGAGAGATTTGCCCAATTTAGTCTGTGTGGAAGATGCTGCTATTCTTGATATGTATTAAATTGGCTTACTAAAACATTGCCTCTGGTTATTAGATATCAGCACTACCCTAAAGCATTTGGGGTTCCAGATGGTAGATAACCTCAACCTGGTGCTCCTGAGGTTATCACTGTATATGGCGGTAGGAAGATCTGCCAGGCGAGAGCTTGCCCTTAAGGGTTCAAGTGAATGTGCCTGGCTGTTTCCCCTCCGTGGCTGACAACTCTCCCCTCACCCTCTCCTCCCTAGGTCCAGAAAGCCATGAAAGAGAATTTAGCTGCTGTGGAAGACAATTTTGCCAACATCAACTCACGGGTACAGAAGCTGGCCAAATAAATCTCCTTAACAGAAAGCCAGGGTTGGAAGATTTGCCCACTCTGTAAACACACACTAATTGCTCTGTCCTTTCCCTACCTTTGTCCCTTTTCTTGCATTCATAGCAGGAGCTGAACCTTCCTACCGGCTAGAGGACTGAGCGCTTCTATGTTAAAAGGCAGCTGTGCCCTTCCCTCCTCCCAATGTTTTTCCATGTCCCTGAAGGTTGCTGGTTGCAGAGGGGAAAGTGGCACACCCTAGTGGACGGGGAAGCTCTGTCCTAGTGAGGGAGTCACTCTTTGCCCATTTCTTGAGGAAGGTGCGCTGCCTCTTTGGCCCACAATGAGGGCCTTTTACATGGAAAGGTGTCTTTAATGCTCTCAGCATGGAGTTGAATTGTGTTGTATAATTATTTTCTGTCATTAAACTCTGATGCTTACTGCTTTGTGCTGGTCTTTTTTTAAAAAAAAACTGACATGATACAGATGGTTTTATATTTTTGTCTGTTTTCATCAGGGATTAAAATCTCCTTTGCTACTTCCAGGCCTAGAGTGGTTGTATCACTAGGTATCAGTGGGAGACTGTGCAGCAAAGCTAGGCCTGTGAGCATCTAGTAGGCCGGGGCGGGGGGGGGGGGGAATCCTCCAGCTCATGGTCTAAAGTTGGGCTGTGCAAACTTGCCCTCTGGCACACGAAGCTAATGAGGCCGCACATTCTTCTCTTTCCTCTGGGGAACACAGCAGCTTCAGGGTTACCTGGGATGCCTTGGAAGTGGGCCTCGCTTGTGTATCAAGAAAGGAAGAAGAGAACAGAGTTTTGGGCCTGTCGCGAATGGGTGTTTTGTTTTTTGTAACATAACACCACTATTCATTTCTGATGAGCCCTCAGAGCTCAAAGATATACAAAGCAACAGAAGCAATCTCTTAATCCCAAATGCACAAATCACCCTCCTTAAATTTCTGCCTGCCACGTTGGCTCCCCTCCTAGCAGTTAGTGTATAGTATGGAGTACCTCTTAGATACTGAATTGTAGTGAACACTCTGGAAATGAAATGCAGCTACCAGGCTTGTTCAAAGATTTTTCTGTTCCATTATTTTTGTATAATTTCTCCCAGAAATATATTCAATATGATACACTGAGCTTTGAAAATCAAAAGCATTTGGAAGATTGGTTATCAGGCAATACCACTGGAGAAAGGGGAAATTTGTCTTGAATCTTTACAGGTGACTTAATGTGACTTCTGATTGTAAGACTCAACTCAGAGTTTGTTCACTGAACTTTGCCCCCAATTTTCCTTCCAGCAGTATTCTGACATCTAAAACACTGCAGTTATATTGATCACATTGCCCTAGTGCAGGGGTAGGCAACCTTGGCTCTTTTATGACTCGTGGACTTCAACTCCCAGAATTCCTGAGCTAGTTATGCTGAGGGGAAAGGGAGAGGTTTCCAAGCTGAGCCATGCTGGCTCAGGAATTCTGGGAGTTGAAGTCCACGAGTCATAAAAGAGCCAAGGTTGCCTACCCCTGCCCTAGTCAAATATCTCTATGTAGGGATTATTTTTGTGCATGTGGATCAAACCAGTTCATCTCCTCTTAGGGACAGAATGGTAGCCAATGTAATGATACCAAATTTGTACATACAAGGTTCTAAGTTCAATGAACAGATGAGCTGGGAAATATTGGGATTAAAATCCAGGACTTTCTTAAAACAGTATGACAGAATTATAAGAGTCATCTCACAGCGTTTTCATGTTGGATATGTTGAATAAAAAAAAAATGATTGGGCAAATGCAAAAAAAAAAAAATGTCCAGTCTAGGGAAGAAAAAGCAACCTTTGGTTGGAACTGTTAAGAGATGATCAATGAGCATGATTTATCTTGCATAATAATCTGTCTCACATTCTCTCTCTCAAGAAGCTGGAATATATAGCATTTTTAAACATCAAAAAGTCTCCTTTTAGCACTTTTAGCTAATTTGCTACTGCTGCTTTCACACTTCTAAGGCAAACTGATTATTGGCTGACAGAAGACAAGGTGGTGTCAGTACAGTCATGCTCTCAGAAGGTGAGCTCAGGCAATTTAGTAATATTGCGTTACCTAATACATTTGAATTACCGTTAGTCATGAAGAAAACGCTTTCTAATTTAATGCTAGACCCGAATGAGAATTGAAAGATGCACAACACAGGGGGGCAGCTGCCGATCTGCAAACAACCTGTTTCTTGTTATTGCTTGTTAGAGTTGCCTGCCCAGTAAGACTGTTACTTTTAGACAAGGCCCCTCCTAAGTTAAGAATATAGTCTTGTTCCAAGGCTAGAGTTTCAGCTGCTCAAAAACAATCGCATCCAGCTGTTTTAAATACATATTTTAATACTTGATACAAAACACCCCCCCCAAAATAAACAAATAAACAGTAACTTCAATCTAAGCTTCAAAATATTTTCATCTGTTAAATTAAAAGTCGCTCCCATAGAAAAGCTACAATTCACAATTGTGTATTTTTATTTTTACAAAACAAAATTTAAGCTCAAAAAAGGAAAAATAGTTCCCCCCCCCATTCCTTTTTTTTTTCCTTTATACAAAAGAAAGGCCGAAGTTGGTTGGTTGAAGTGCATGGGAGGGAAGGGGAGACACAGCACAACTGTACAGTATCTACACAGTGCTTTTGCATAATGTGTCAAGAGTTGCAACCAGACGTGGGATGGGAGAAGAGTGGTGGTATGAAGTGATTTGGTCATTCAGAGATGAGGATTGTAGTGTATGTGTTTGGGGAATGAATGAGGAGAGGAGCAGGGTAAAATGGAGCTTGTTCTGGCAAAGATGGGCCAAGTGTATTTTTGAGCACAAAACCTTTTAAACTCTCCACCCCATCCCAATAAGCTGTGACCTGAGTGTTCTTTTAAGGATTTTTTTTTTAAAGGAAAATACAAGGAAATAATATATAGTTAAAAGTAGGAGTATTTTTTGTGTAGGGAAGGAGGGTGCACTTACAGTCCCAGAGTTCCAACTGGACTTGAGGAGAATAGAACAGGCTAAGTCGCCATTCAGGGTCTGGCATATTGTCGCTCTCTTTGAGTAGCATATAAATAGAGGCAGTTGGGAGGGAAGAAACTTCTGGAAAACTGAAAGAAGGATGTTTCCTTGGTCTAGCGTGGCTTATTTTCCTTATTGCTTTGTACCTTGGCCACTGGGATCAGGACTGAGCTTGCCTGCGTATGTGAGAGAGCGCATGTGTGTTATGTTTGGCAAGGCAGAGAGAAGAAATGACTGATTCTTGTACTAAAACCCTGAGCCGGTTCTCACCTGCGTGCGATGCACACAGGTCTGAGGTAAGGTGGGAAGTGAAAGGGCGGTGCTGTCCACCTCCAGGAGGACCCAGCCCTTGCTACTCCTTGCTGAGGTTTGGGGACCCAACCGTAGGGGAATCTCACCAGGGGTGGGGAAGACACAAAATCAAGAGCAGGAGGGTCTCCTGCGCCACCAAGAGGAACATTACAAACATGGCTTCAAGAAGTGCTATGGGCATGGCCCTCTTCCCTCCCCCCTTAGCCTCCTCCCGACAGCAATCCCTCTCCAAAAAATGCTGAGACCAGAGTATGCACCGTGTGCTTTTAGAGATCCCTCCGGTAAAAGATTCGGGACCCAGGCAAGTGGTGAAGCTAAAACACATTCATGGTCATGATGCTCAGAACCATCAGCAACAACCGATCCTCTTGTTGGTATTTCCTCTCCTCCCCTGGGCCACATCCACAGGCTGGGCCCCAGAGATGGAAGGGGGGTCATGGATGGGGAGACACAGATGTCCCAAGCTCTCTTTGCTTAAGAATGGACAGTGGTGGAGCCCCCTCGGTTCAGGCAGTGTTATGTGGCCAATTTCCTCCTCCTGTTTTTCACAGGCCGGCCAGGCCGAGGCCGTCGAGCAACAGTGTAGTCAACCTACAAGGGGGAAAGGTAAGGAAAGACAAAGTTAAGGCACTATTCCCAAGTTGGGATCGCAGTACCACTCCTTATTCCTTCTTTTACAAAGAGGGACATCCTCAGGAGCACATAATATAACCCTTGAGTATCCTTTCTGCAGTCCTTTTAAATGGCTCTCTGCAGTCACAATTGCCAAAAAGCTGGCATTTTTTTCCCTTCATACTGAAGCAGAAACTAATACAAGCCACGAAGGAGCCCCTTACATCAATTTTAAAAAGAGGCAAAACACACCAATACCGTACGTCAAACCTTAGGGGAATCCCCTCCCCAAGAAATACTGGCTTGGTCTATTTCACATTATCGTCCACCCACCTATGAGGAAAAAAAATTACCAATGGGCTGGACCCTGGATCAATGCTAGGACCCCGAATCCGTGTAGTTTCAGGTCGGGCACTGGGCCGGACACCACTGCAAAGAGAAAACAGTGGACTAATAAATAACTTCTGAGATATCCTAGGCTTGCTTTTAAATTCTGTTCCCTCTATGAATCCCATCCCTTCTAGGCACTGATTCTCACCTGCTTTTCCTCCTTCGACCACGTCGGGCTGGTCGCCTACCTGGAGGGCCCTGGAGAAAGAAATGGTTAAAGGGTATTATCAGTTCTGAAGATGTCAGCTTCCCAAAAGTACTCCAGAACTAGTGATTAAAACCCTCCACACAATTTGCTTGATTGGCAACCCATAGTTTCACAACCATTCTACAAGGATCAGCGTATCCGTTCAACTTACATACCTAGTAAACCTTTCCTAAATCTTTTTTGTTTCAGCGTGAAGGCCAAGTGAGAAAATGTGAAAGTGTGCAGAGACACCCATACTTAAATGCTCCCTCGTGTAAAATGGGCAATATTAGATAGTCTGGCACATTGCTACGCGGTTCTCCTGTTTTCTACATGCACGGGTTTATATTTAATATTGTTAGAATGAGGGCAAGTTATTGAAACAGCAACACATACATACCTCCCCCATAGTTTGAAGAGTCCAAAATTCTTCCTGAGTAAGCTTTAGAATAGTCTTTTACTTTAAAACCAAAGTCCTCTGAAGAAGGAGCAATCAAAGGAAACAAAACAATGTTTGGGTTCACACATCACACTAAGCCATAATATCAGTCTTATCCCACTAGAAGCAGGTTATGTCCTGCAAGTCCTCTGCTACTTGCATCTACAATCTTCCCAGTCCTACACGTTTCTCAAACAGGCTTCAGCCTCTGACCAAATCCCACAAGATCCCTTTATTAGGGGAGACTAGTGCATTAAATGCCTTTTCCCCCAATCTGTCTTTGTCTCACTGAGATGAAAAATTGCAGCTTTCAATTTCTAAAAGCCAAGTCTCATTTGACCTCCATATAGTGTGGAGTCAGCCTTGTGTCAGAAGAGCCCAGGCTGGTTTCCAGCAGTGTTGACTTTAAAACTAAGATAGCTGGAGGGGTAGAAAGTGCTGCGAAGATCGGGAGCAATCTGTGCTTTTTA